AGGGTCTTCTACAGCTACGTTTCGTTGAGTTCGGCAGTAATAGTATTTCCATTCTTCCTGTTATTGTCCGCAAAGGGGGTTGGAGTGGTGAGGAAGAGGGAGACGACGAATGCGAGCCCGAAGCTTTGCCGAGTTTTGCCGAAGCGCACGCTGCATTGGCGAAAGTGAAGTTGTTCTTTTATGCGCTTAATATTAGTGAACGTGACGAGGAAAACCTTTTGAACGTGGAAAGTGCTCTGTTTGGTCTAAAACGTAAAGTTTCGACAAACCAGTTGTCCATTAAAGACTTTTTTGGTAAAAAGAAGTAACTTTGAAAGAGAAACATTGTTTTTTTTAAATTTTTAATGCTTTCCCGCATCTATCGTTTTTATTTCCCACCCCCGCCGAAAACGATGCATCGAGGTTTCACTGTATATATTTAGAGAAAGGTATAAAACTTCTGATTTTAAATAGATTTCTAAATGAATTTATTGGTTTTGCACCAGTCATTATTATATAGATTTTATTTAGTAAAGTAAATATGTTTTACTGTTAAATGAATTACTGCAAGAAATTGATCCATACTTCATTGTAGAGTGAAACTTGTCAAAGTAGATTCAGTTCTGTGTGTCTATATTGCCAATATAAAATACTGATCTAACTGCATAACATTCCCCACTTAATGTTGGAATTATGTGATCAATATGATTCTTTCAGTTTAGGTGGTTGTATAGACCAAGAAAATGTGAATTTTATAGATGTTATATTTTCCATAATATCATATACTTAATGCACACTGTGGTGAATTATTTGTTACAAATTATATTATTTTTGCTTTACCAAAACTTAGGTCTAGCTTGTTAGCAGTAAACCAATACTTAATGCACAGAAATTATCAAAAATTTGATTAGCAATTATGACCCTAGTGCCATCAGCAAATATTATTGGTTCAAAAAGATTTATATTGTTGAAGTAACATCGTTTATGTCAGTCACAAAAAGTAAGGGCCCTACAAATGATCCTGGGGAACACCGAGTGTCACTGTTCCCCAACTGGAGAAAAGATTCAGAGCTGCACTAGATGGTTAGAATGCAAGTGTGAAGAAAAGTGTTTTCCTTAGCATTTTGGCTCCCAAGCAATTTTTCTGTGCATAATTTAATATTTTAATCCACCATAGACAATTACCCTACAATGGTAAAATTCAGAAATATTTCTGTATGCAAGTGTTAGGAATATGTTATTTCACTCCATAGAAATTGACACATCAATGCCTGTCACAGTACTGAAATCAATCCTCAAGTGATCTACTGGTGACCCTCATTGGAGCCATTGTGTTGAAAGCTACAGCATAACACTAAAAGTGCTGAATATTCCATGCCCCTTGCTCTATTTTATTTAACTGCAATGCTGCACAATATCACGCAGCATAAATAAATAAGCGCAAAAAATGAAATACTACAAGACGTGGATAGAAAGTATTAAAAAAGAATTTGCCATTAACTGCAATAATGCAACAACATTTATGATTTTTTCAAGTATTACTAGAGTACTATTGTGGAAAAACACTTATAGTATCAGTACAACATAATGTCACCCCTGCAACTTGCATGACTGTATACAGTGTTGTTTTCATTACAAACCACCGCTCTGTACTTAATTAATGACAGCACAATCTATTACATATTCTAAGATTGTGTACAGTTGATAATACTGCTGGAACTTATTCAAATTCAAGTAAAAAATTTGTTGCACAAAGCAAATAAATAGTTCTACAAGATATGTGTAAGAAAACAGGGTATAAACAATAGGAAATACACATTATTCACATTAGTAAGTGGTAGAAAGATGATGTGCATTGTGGTTGCATTTACTACCGTGCAACATACTGTTTTGACATATAAAATTTGCTGTGCTTAAAGTTAACATTTTATATGAAGATGAAAGTGAAGTTTTTGAACAATAACATTTTTTTGAAAGCTGTCCTAATTTATGTACAATTGACAGTACTATTTCAACACTTAACTGATAACATGACTGCCAACCTCAGTCATCCAATGAAGTTCACACTTGACAAGAAATTGGGAAGTAGTATACAGTATATAGGGAAGAAGTATGACTTCAAGCATGTTATACATATATATAAACTACCTAATGACATGGAAAACAGGCCTTTCTGAGAAGCTGTCACTCAGCTAGTTAGAAGTTAATCACCTTTTAAGGAACCAGAAGGTTCATTACAATACTCACAAAAGCCTGCCACTGGACCATATCCTGAGTCAGATTAATGTAATCCACACCCTAATTATTTCACTTATCTTTAATATTAATATCCTCCCAATGTTCCAAAATGGCATCTTTTCATCTGATTAAAATGTTGTATAAATTTAGCATCACCTAATAATATTTGGTGAAGAGTAGAAATTATAATCTCCCTGTTACTTCCTCCCATTTTTAAGTCAAAATATTTTCCACAGAACCCCATTCTCAAATCCTATACCCTCAATATATATTCTTCACTTGGGGTGCAACATATTAAATTTCATATCCCTACAGATATTATGGGACGGTAGATTGCAATCTACCGTCCCATAATATCGGACACACAGCACATCACTTACAACCCGATATAAAACATCCAAGCACAACATTAAAAGAAGAGACTTAAAAATCAAACAAATCAATATACGCAAAGCAAGATGTGCAACAGTTTTTAAAACAGTTTTTAAAATTGATAGACCTGATGATGGTGTAATATACATCGAAACATGTCGTCAATATAAAATGTAACAAGATCTAGCATCTAATGAAAAAATGTTATAATTTTAAGTAATTTTAACAACATTTTTATGTTTGTGTATAGACGGTAAATAAAAAATTATTGTATAAAAACATAATATAAATGCAAATCCTTATGTTATTCAATCTGAAGATATTACAAAACTTATAATAAGAAATATTGACTACCAACTACTGTGTAACTAGTTCCTTTACATTACATTAACTTCACATTTAATGAACTTTCAATGAAAATTTCATTTTAATGCATGTAAAAAGTCATTTTTTATTTATTTCTAAAGCCTGATAAAACTTTACTGGACTAAAACATGTTTCCTGCTCTGCTCAGGATCCATTTAACTTTTCATCCTTGCACTGTCTTAAACACAATAGTTTTATTTATTTTCATGATGTTATTTTTGGTGGAACAATCCTAATTTGAAACAGTATACTCGGGACAGGATAGGGTAGGGCAGAATGGGGTACCAAGAGAAGAGGATAAAATGACAAGTGCCTGTATTGTGGCAATGGCTATTCGCAGTCTATTGAAGGGTGGATCCTGTATTCATCTTGCTTGAAATTGGTCCATAACTCATGTGCAGGTGTTACAGTCACAATGATGAAGAGGTGCACATGTGTGCCGTCTGTGTTAGGCCTAATTAGATTTAACATGTGTAAAGTTTCGACATCTTACATTATATACTAATTCATTTTTATATCCTACGTCATAATTATTGGATAATCTGTGTCTTCTTACAACTTTTCAAATATATAACAACCATACTCCGTCTTGTCCTGGGTACGGGGCAAATTACATTCTTGTAAAAAAATTAATATTTAAAAAACTGCAACTCTTAGAATTAAACTAATAAATCATTATAAATCTCAAACAGACACTAAATCCACACAAGGTTCCTTCCTGTGTTTATCTTTATTATTGTCCCTTCCACATGCCTCCAAAGATTAAGTTCCCCATTCTGCCCTGGTCTCCCCTATGTATTACCTCATTTCACTTTATATCTAATTGCCATATTTACTCTTTATAACACACCTTTTTTTTGATTGGAAAATTAAAAAAATTAAGTATTTGTTCATAACAAGCTTACAAATAAATAATATAGGCATTGAAAACTAATAAGAAAGATTACTTAGTATGAGATATCTGAAAATTAGGCAGGCAGAGTTAGCATTCGTTACTACAGGTGGTATTCTGTAATGAAACTGACATGGATGCACTCATATTTGAAATCAGTCAGATGATGGCATGATTATTGACAAATTTTCTTTTAGAGCAATAGAAAACAAAATATTTGTAATTAGGAATTGTTGCCATGTCTTCGTTTTTTGGAAAAACTCTTCCAAGAGAAAAAATTCTGCCAGGAATTACTGTAAGAGTTCAAGAAAGAGACTGAGGAGCTCATCCTCCACTGGTTTAACAGTGTGGAAAAGTCACATGGGTGCTTTGTTATGCATGCATACCATGTTGGTATTAGACAGCTTTTGTGGACATATAAAAGAAAAGGTAAGAGCAAAATTATATCAGGATTCTGATCTTGTTGTTTTCCCCAGTGGAATGAGCAAGCTTTTGTATCCTGTGGATGTTGTCATTAATCAGCCATTAAAGGTCAATTTCTGGTGGCTTTGCAATCAGTGGATGATAGTCACAAAGCATGAATTCAGGCCTAGCACTATCAAGAATGGCATGCAATTGCTGACTGCATATGAATGGATTCTTGAAGTATGGTGATCAGTTTCCTTAAAAACTGTGAAGATAGGTTTTAGACTTGCTGGAATTTCCAGTGAAATGGATGGGAGTAAGATTTAATTATCAACGATGCTGACAATGAAAGTGGGAGTAATGATAATGGTGATGACAGCAGTATAGGAACTGACAGTGAATAACATAAACATGTTAGTGAATTGTTGATTGATAATGCAATTTAAATCAAACTGGAAAAACTCATATTAATGACAAATAAATATTAGCTTTGAAATTGTACCTGATAATAATATTCTACTGTATGAACATTAAAGAAACGCACTTCTTTCTTTCCTTTAAACATGTTTCTTGTATAACAAGCACCCTAATTATGATAACAAATAATTTTATAAACTTCATGTTACAGATAAGTAAATATTGTATTGTCTTTAGGACATACATTTTCATTTGACACATTTTTGTTATTAAATTACTTTCAAAGAATAAATTCCTTTCATGCTATGTTATGTTATTGTACTTACAAGCTCATGTAGGTTAGAAGTATTTTCCTAGAAGATGGAGGACATGCATCTCTTCTTGATGTGGAAAATTAAAGAAACACTATTCATAGCCGACTGTAGGAATCCATAGCAGGAGAAACTATTTATTCTAAATAAAACAAAGTTCTTTAACATCCCATATTTCATTACCACCAAACAACACTGCAAACTTACCATTCTTTGTTCTGCTGAGTTCTGAATCTTCAGATATAGACTGCTGTGCACCATCATTTGGTTTACATGAATGAATTGGTCCAAGAATAGCTTCCAACATATCACTGCACACAGCCATACTAGGTTCCACAATGAATTCAATAAAACCTAGAATGTGACAAAATACATCACTACTTTGCTTTAATAATGTTAATGATGCAAGGTAGATACTTCAACACTAAATCACAAAATAGCGATTTTTTTTACTGGTCTGATTGAATTAACTTTAGTCATCTACACTTTCATACCAGCATTGTTTAAACACCATATTAAACTGGTAGATACCCTGTACTGAAAAATTTTAAGAGGAAGAGGAGAAGTCATTTTCTAATAAAAGCAATGGAACAGTCATGGTAAACAGAGAAAATATTCCAAAAGAAACATTTTATAAATAGCTTATAAAACAAAAAATTTGCAAGCAAATAATCTTCTTTTGCAGTCAAATTGTGTGACATGTGAAGTGGTAGAATATATGCTTTACAGATTTATAGAGAAAGTGGCAGAAAGTCTTGTTAGCAATGTAAGGACTGAAATCAAAGAGCAGCTATAGAAACGTTTAGGCAGAGGACTTATGGGAAGAGATAATTATAATTGCGCAGCGGTAACAGATTTTGATTCTGCCATCCACCACACACAAACAGCCTTCTATTCATCAGACACCTTTCTCAAAGCTACTGCCGAGTTGTCTCCATAATGCAGTTGCCGCTCAAACTGACGCTCGTGCACGGTCATGTGCGCTTGATAGAACAAGCTTCATATGTAAAAGTTTGACAGTTCCACTGTTATGTGGCAAAAACCGCAGTGTTATGGCTCTGTTTATTTTCTCAATAAAATGTTTAAAATATGTGCACACTTTCTCAAACAGCCTGCATAATTTCAGTCATGAAAGTCAGTCACTTTCTGGGATATAAATTGGACACCTACTGAAAAGAAAGCAAGAGTACAGGCCACTAAGATGTAATGTTCACAAAACTTTACAATATGATCATCATGACATAGTGCTTAGCACTACTACTTCGTGTTCAGGTGGTACCAGATTCAATTTTAGACTGGACTGAGCTTTCTGAAATCCCTCCAGGAAATATGGGCAGGGTACCTAACAACACCCTTAATTATTATTCACAGTTATTATATTCAATGCTTCATTACAGCTATGAGTCTTTGGTAACTAAGAAATAAACTAATTGTTTTGATAGGTAGGTATAAAAAGACTGCTACTGAAAAACACACCTATTTGTGACTCTGCTACAAGTGTGTTCTTACGATCACACAGAGGACTGAAAGGTAGTCCCAACTCTCGCTCTTTGTCTCCTTGCCTGAAGAACTCCTCCAGCAGTAGCATAGTCCAACGGTGATGTAAATCCCACCGTTTGGCTGGATGTGAGATATCACAGCAATGGAGCACCAATGACAGTGCCTTTGATTTGTCAACACTGAACAAACAGAACGTTAATTTCATTAAAACTTATTGTACAGGAACAGGCGGCCAGCCAGTCTTCATATCCAGTGACTTAGTGGTGTGCTAGTGTGACACATATTCACTTGGATCATCTGTAAGCTGTGACATGAAGACAATAAAGGCCAATATTTAGCATGGGCACCAAACTCTGCACAGTTCAGTGTTACCAAATTTTTTCCAGTTTAGCACAGCATAATGTGAAAGGGAAGTTTGAAAAGCAATGTCTTCATATCTTATAGGAATATAAGGGTTCATTGTCATGAACAGTAGCAGGCTTCATCACTCATCTTGTCTGTCATATGCAGAGTAAAGTCATGCTCCTATTGTACCAAGCCACCTACTAATATTGTTCCATCCATATGTATGAATGTAACAATTTTAGAATGGTTAAGAAGATTTTCATAAAAGTTTATATTTTAGGAGTTGCTCTAAAATCTGTCACTTCATTATGATTTTGGTTGAGTTTGACAAAAATTTTGAAACTTTACATGAAAAATTACAAGCAGTTTTGTGTGTGGAAGAGACTGGATGGGAAATCTCCACTCACAATGTTCCCACATTGGGAATTTTTCTGCCATTCACAAAGGTCATCATACTTCCAAATGCATCAGAATTTTTATGTAAATGTGTAAATTTCCTAACTTAATGAATATCACAAAGTCCTTCCTGTTGGCACATAGATGCCAAAATAATTTGTTCTATTTGTTTCCAGGAATCATGCTAAGACTGAGGAATTATAGAATGTTACCACAATGTAATAATAGGTTCTACCAAATTTACTACAGTTAATATAGTTTTGTTTTAAAACTCTTAAAGTGCTTGTCCAATTCCTCCTTGCATTCAGTGTATGTGATAAAAGAGAGGCATGCTCGCTGTGCAACTCAAATACATCAAACAATTTTATGCCAGCATTTGCAGCTCTCACATGAATATAATTCTTGAATTATACATGCCATTCTCCAAGGGCCAATGGCTTATCTATAGGAACACTGATAATACAAATTATTTGTTCAGCTGTTAAATAATTGGACAAATTTTGAGTAGTTTGACAGGCCCTTAGTGTGAAACTGTCAATGAAGTGAAAGAATCTGATAATAATTCCAGCTTTTCTGGAGGCTGAGCTTCAAATAAAATAAAACTGAACAGTAGAAAGTTCTGTGTGGGTACCCATAAACTCTCCATATTGCAGTGTCACATCTTGTATCTTCTCATCTTGTAAAAGAAGTAACACCTTTTCAAGTTTGTTGTGATGCATATCTGTTAAGCTTCCTTGTACATATGACTGCAGCTTATGCATGATTCATTAGCTTAGTTCTGCACTAGCATACCACTACACTGTTAGCTTAGGAGTCCAGCCTACTGCACCATAATATGGGGGTTTAAATCCCATACTCCTGCATGATTAAAGGTAATATCTACTATCTACAAAATATCAAAACATTATTGAATTGTATCTATGACTGTGCCCCAAAGATATCATAAAACCTCTGTTACAGAGCACCAAATATTCTGACATCCTACCATAAAAATCTTTCACAGTTCATTGTCAATCATTATTTTTGTTAGTTTCTGGGAGCAATAATCAAATGTACTCATTATGATTAAAGCTCTACCACCTGAACTGTAACTCCGATTACTTACATCCAAAGTTTCATCTAGTACTATGTGATCAATTTATTTTGGATTATTAATGACACTGTCAGTAGCTCAGACTCCATAGTGTTCAATAACAGGATGATTAATAAGTAATGAATTGAAAACAATATGGAAGAAAGCTGTTATGGCATGGCCTAAGTTAAGAAACCATCCCAGCATTTGACTGGAGGATTAATAAAAATGATAAGCATCAATCAGGATAGGTGGTCTCTGGGCCAAGATTTGAACTAGGACTTCCAGAATATGAAGCAGGAGAGACAGCCACTTGACCGTGATGCTATGTAATAGTTTTTCCAGCTCTGAGAAACTAGTGTTGATGACCATGATGCCATAAATTTTTGCTACTCAGCTGATAAGCCACTGCCCAGAAAGGAGCTTATTTCCGCATAAACACGGAATGTAGTGTTTTCATAATCAAACTGTATGTTAACACATTCCTTAGTTGTTTGGCTATGGGTCATAGAAATGCTGTCCATAATTCAATACAAGATGTATATGGAACAATGCTCAGGAGGGAAATGAGATCATTGGAAGGTTACAGTTATTTTTATGTTTATATAAAATTGCATAACTAAATTTTACAGGGACTGATGAAGTAACAATAAGAATGAATATCAGGCATTAATAATACAGAAAAATATGTTAATTAAATAATATAAATAAATCAAAAAATTATTTAAATTTAAATGAGAAGCATCATGGAACAATGATATCCTTTCTCTCAATCTGAATTAGTGCCTGCAGAACGGTGGCAGCTCCTGAGTCTGAGCAATGGTAACGCTGCGCAAGGGGAAAAACTAAGAATAGTTTTTTAACATATAACAATATAAATAAATGAAAAGTAAATTTACATCAAGAGAAAACCCATAAGTGCTCGACGATATTTTAACTATTTGTAAGTCCGGAAGAGGGCAGCCATGATTGTTTACATCACTTTTTTCACTCGAAGAATTTAGCAAAAGTAATTCGCTGTAAATATGATACACTTCTTCTGCTCATTATCATTATCTGAACAAAAAATAGTCGGCACACAGAATTATTCAACACTCATTAACAATAACCACGAAACAGTTTGTGATACAGAAACCAATCTAAAACACGTGGTAACGGGCAAGCGTGTTTACTATGAGCCGGCTGCAACAACTGCAGCCCCTAAACGCGCTGTACCAGTGAACTGCCCCTCACTCGACCTCACACTGCGCTCACTGCTTTTGACCGGCCAGCCGCGCTGAAATCCTTGCAGCCAGATGATAGCACCGTTCTGCTTTGCACTCCTCGCCCGCGGACTTACAATCAATTCAGCCGATTAGTGGATAATGACAACGTAAGGGGCAATATTAAAATAATGATATAGAGGAAATAAAGTGTTACAAATTATATAAACACAAAAAATAAATTTTTAATTATTTGAAAAATTTTAGGGGGTGCTGCAGCTTTTATGGGCGGGCTGCCACTGCTGCAGAATAACAGGACCTTTAAATAAACATTTGGTATTATAGTGACTGACACTGCTGTGTATTTTCACAACAGTAACTGCAATTGCACACCCCATGAGCCACAATTACAGAAATTAAAATAATAGATACAGATTACACACTGTCACTGAATAAATGTGCTTCAACAAGTGTAAGGTATGGTCTTTCTATAAAATTAATTCATGCAAGAACAGTTGACAATTTGGCCACCTACTACAGAATATTCATTTTCAGAATAGTTACTCTAAACTGATGGAAGGTTAGTGGAAATAGTGGTCGACATCATACAGGACACACTTTCATGATTTAATAATGACCAGGAAATAATTAGCATTTCAATAGATAAAATGGAGGATGAAAACAATAAACAATTAATCAGGATAACAGACATCAAGAAGTAACTAGATAGCATCACACAACTTTGAATAAGACAAATGAGTGAAACCTGGGCTCTGCAAGTGTGAGCAGATTCTTCATGTTCTTAAGCTGCTGGAAATGGAAGCTCATGTCTGTGGCAAGAACCATGTCAATCACAAGAGTTCGAAACTCACGGAATTCTTCTCTGGACAGGTTCTGAAGAATGTTGCATTCATCATCCTTCATTACCCTACAAAACAAAAACAATGACCTGAATCTAGAATTTCTATCTGACATAATATTTCAATATTTGTAGTCAGGCATACTCTGTAGCTTATATTTTGGGAGAAAAGGGACGTTCCCTTAGGCTATTCCATCTGTACCTGACATCACTGTGCCAGGGCAGTGTCTAGACACTGAAAAAGTATCAGGGCATCACCCTGGATTGCCCTGGCTTGACTACAGCCCTGTATAAAACTCATAACACGACTATAGAGTTACTCAACTAACTAGACAGGATAGATACTATAAGTATAATTATTCTGTTGATCCTTTCAGTGTTGGCATTTATACGTGGTCATCATCATCAATCGTGCTTTGGCCTGTTTTCAGGCCATAACCTCTCCCTTTTTTGAGGTTTCCTGGTATTTGAAGTGTGCATTTGTAAGTAGTGAGTGACCAGCCCACTGACTCTGCACAATTTCTACTCGATCCTGATTTGACTGTCACAGCCATCTAGTAGTGAATCAGGAGAGACTTGGGTGAGAAATGGCCACTCAATTTTGCTTACGAAATATCTCATTCATGCTCATAAGGTTATTTTACATGCCGTAAATCTACGACACAGGACCGCTGTCTTTACTTCCCCTCTGAAGGAAGTTGTGCTACAGATTTTTATCACCCTTATAAATCCACACTAACCACTAGTCCACCGACGGGTACATTGTACATTGTACAGACCTCAATTCTGACACATGATGCTGACCTCTATATTTTATGTAGGTAAGGTATGTAGGTTATAGGGTTTATATCTCCTCCATACACAGGATAGGGCATACTCTAAATGGATGCCATCACTTTAGGTTAATTAAAGCTATAAAGTATCAAAAGTTGGTTCTACTTCCATTTTCAGGAGTCTAGTGGGAGAACAAAAACCCTATTTTATTATGCCATATTCAACCTTGGCCCCTTGGTCTGAGGCTGAAGCTAGCTTGACGATAAGTCATTTCTGTTGGCAACAATTTGATAGGGTATTACTTAGATTATTAATAAGAATGTCCTATTTCATGGGTGTCTGCACATCTACCTAGCTAAGTAACTGGACTCATAGGAACTGTAATGTAAAGGTAGAGGTTAAATTGTCCTTGATTATTAATGAAGCACCACACCATACAGTTTTGTGGAGGAATGCAGATATAACCTCATATCTTAACCTCAGCACTAGATGGAGGTAAGTGGTCAGCATCATGCTTCAGCCACCTTATCTGTGATGATTAAACACCAGTACCCATTGGATAAGCAGCTGGGTAGGTCCCAGAGACAGTTTCAATATCCACACTAGTTACTACGCTGCTATATATCAAATACATGGACAACAAACAGTATTTAAGCAAATACTGTTATTTTTCCTGTGACTATACATCAGTATTATCACTTTGGGGTTGATATCCTAATTACAAGCAACATTTTTCATGCTGACCTTGGCTATGAACAGTGCAGACACTGGCATGTACTGTGATATGTAAGCAAGTGCACTAATATTGAGATAGTGTTATTGTAGCAAAATTTGAAGACAAGATGAAAAATTGTGTTATGGTTCTGTTTAAGAAGGTACTGTCCCAGAAGTAAGTAGCTGGCACCAGTCTTCTGAATACAGTAATATCTTGATTATCTCTGTGCTGATTATATGGTTTGCAGATTATCCTTGCACACACTTTTTTACATAAACATAATTGAACTTGGCTTTTGACCTCTTTCTTGCACTGTACTGTCTTCTCTGGTAGGGTGGGGAGAAAGATTGGTTTTTGGAAGATCTTCAGCTGATCTTGTCAAATACTTCTTTTCGTGTTTTGCCATCAGTATCAGTGGTGGGGGTGAAGAGGTTTTTTCAAATGGTCATAGTGGTGAAGAGAGAAAACTGCTTTTCTGTCTGTTATTAAAACCAAAAAAGATAATGGATATATAGGGAGATTTTTGGTTCCAAATATATTTTGTTCCAGAAGTTCAGGTTTTCTTAATGGAGAGGATTACCATATAAAGCAATGTTGTTGCTAGAGAATACTCCCTCCTTATCCAAGAGAGTGTGTATTGATGTCTGATAATGGCACACTGTTGTGAAGCTATTGCTCCCAGTGTCACAGCTATTATAGAGCTTAAGGACCAAGTAGTGATTACATCCATGAAACAAAACTACCAGCCTGACCTTCTCAGAACTACTGCTAATGAAGAGGATGGCATAATAGCATTATGAGAAAAGTGGTGGTGCTGGATGCTACATATAGCACACATCAAGTGTGGTCATGAATCAGGAAATGATGGCTTTATTTTGGTGGAACTTTTTCCACATCTATAAAAGATGACTGCAATGTTTTTCTAATGATAAAATTAGCAGGTCTGAAATTCTTCATATGGTGTGTACTATGAGAAGTTTTGAAAACTCTGACTAAGATAAAACCGAAGAATAAAGTGGTGTGTGTGACCTGGCATTCCAGCACATGACAGACATGGACATAGCAAATACTGCTGTGAAACTAAAGGGGAAGAAGAAGGTGGGAAGGATGAGAGTGAAGAAGGCCAAGCAGTGAGTGTGTCAGTCAGGCATAGCATGGTACTAGCAGAAGATGACCAGATTTTAAAACTAAAAATGGGATACCTTTACCAATGATGTCTAATTTATAACAGATGATTTAACTGATATTATTTTAACTAAATTTATACTTTAATTAATTTTTTCACTAATATTTACAAAATGTTGTTTGAAATTGATTTCAATTTAATGTTGAAGGGGTATTTATTTTCTCTTGGGCAGATGTCTTGTACTTCGTACGAGAACAAATTTAATGAAGTAATTTGGTATTGTTTTAAATCAAAGTATAGAATTTCCTCAAAATGTGTTTTTGTTACTATGACTGCTTCGATGGTTTCAACAAGGAAACAGTTCTTTTCGTCAGTCCACAGAACATTTGTGATAGAAAATACTCTCTCTATAGCTGCAGTAGTACCAGGAATGGCAAAAGAGAATTCCAAAATGAGTTCTGTGTCTTTTAACGAAATACATTCACTTTACACAAACTCAGTATTTCAGATCATCTTTCAAAACTTGTAAGAGATTTTGTATTCCATTCATCCATTCTGGTTTTACTTATATGTAGAATATGAATAAATTCATCAAAAAGTCCAAATTCATCTAAAATCTTTGTTATATTTTTGTCAACATCAGCAATATGCTTTGTAAAATGTAGGATTCTCTCCCAAGTAGGAGGATTCTTAAGTAGTGTCCAGTGGAACATATCCAATGGGAGAATATTGTTATTTCATTGTTCTAAATAAAACAGAAGTGTTGTAAAATGAGTTGGATGCTTCAGTGAATTGTTCATTATTGTAAACATCATCAACATCTCATACAATAGTGATATATGTTTTGTTGTAAGGAAATTTTCATCTCTCCTGTTTTTCATTTTGTTTCACAAAATAAATAGTTTTAAGTCTACTTCACTGCCTGAAATACTGTCACTTGGTATTTCTCTCATAGAAATGAAGCAAACTTTCATCTGACATTCCAAGAAATAATTCCAAACTAGGGATACTGGTTCATTAAATATTTTTCTCAGCATCTTCATGCATTTTTTTTTTGGAAAGAAAATATGACATCAATTTGGTAAATTTTGAAATAACTCTTATTATTGCAAGTTGAAGTGACAGCCACCTGGTTTTTATACTTCCAAGATTCTGTATATATTCAACATCAATGAAGTCAAAATTCCTTCAAATCCTCCACACACACAAGTTTAGATTATATTTAGGTCTGTAAGATTTGAGGTTTTCACAGTGGTTAGTATGAAGATTTCTGTCTTCTGGGTTGTTGCGCTGTGTAGTCTGGTCGATGTTAACCAACGTTTCAGATGTCATACTGCCTCTGTCATCGCCCTGAAATGTTGGTTAACATCGACCAGACTACACAGCGCAACAACCCAGAGACAGAAATCTTCATATTTAGGACTATTTATGCAACTTTTATGTTGACAATTTAATTTTAATACTTCTGCTCAGATTAGCTCAGTGTTTAAACTTGTTACTCAACTCTGATACATTTAAATTGAATAATTTATTTACGTCTAATTTCAGGCATTCTCTCACAGCTGACACACAAAACGCTCTGTTAATACTGACAACAATACATGCAGCGTGTATGCCATAATGAAAAATCTGTATCAGTAATAAAGAAAACAGCACTGTTGAAAAATGGGGCTTTTTGGCGCCGCACTTTATCCTTGTTGGGCCAATGGGACACCTCTCTCAAAAACAGGACAGTTCCATTAAAAATAAGACAATTGGTCACTCTGCTATAGACAAAAATTTTAGGTGCTGACACCAATTAAGATCAGACACATCTATGGTAATACAAACTCTATGATGCACCACTACTGAGAAAAATACTCACATTTTAAACGATACAACAAGAAGAAAATTACATATAGGGCAACTTGATACGTTTTACTCTTCATCTTATATTGTTTGGCTGATTACATTATAAAGGATGAAATGATATAGATATGTAATGTGCATAGAAAAGAACTGAGATGAGAATTTTTAAAAGCTGAAGGTAAAAGAAAAATCTGAAAACCTAAGAATGACAACAAAATAATATTAATGTATATTTTGGAGAGCTTGGGTTTTGACTAATCTGTTCTGGCTTAAAATGGGGTTCAATTGTGATATTTTGTGGAACAAGTTAATGAAACTTTAGGTACCAAAAACATCAGAAAACCTTTTACCAAGTGTTTAAGAACATCCTGTACCATGGAGTTTATCAGATTATATTACACTCAATACTTGCAATTAAAGCATAATAAAGCAAAGGAAGTTACACACAATGTAATAATAATGAAACAATCTAACCTTTTTACCATCAAAAGTGAAGTAGAATTATTTGATCTTAATAATTACAAATTAAACTGTATGAACATTTTGCATATGTGAAAACATCATAAGATCAGTAATGAAAGCAAGTTATCAACAGATAACTTTACCTGAATGAGGCACTGATGTGATGGTTCTCCAGGACAGCTCGGTCATTGTACAGGAGGGCTGTTTCCGTGCCTGACATGACATGGAAGTTATTAGTTGTGCCAGTATGCTCATAATCATGGATAATGGCTGCTACTAAGGTGGCAAAGATCTCCAGGTCTGTCAGCCAGTTCTTGCAGTAAAACAGACACATTTACACATATCAGCAAGACAGAATAATATTTGAAAACTAATAAGTAAGCTTAAATAAATTAATGGCACAAATATCGTTCAGGTTCCAAATTAATGTTTGAGAGTGGATAGAATGACTGATATCATAAGGATTATTTAACAGTATTAGTATGTTCAAAATGTTCTATTCCTTTTGTGATATATATTTCTATTTAAATCTGTTACCATATGGACCATCTTAACCTAAACACATGGTTTAAAGCTAACAAATTTTCTCTAAATTTTTACAAGACAAATTACATACAATTTGCTGCTAAGAACAAGACATGTCCCAGTTTAAATATAGGCTTTGACAAAAAATTAATTGAAGAAGTAGAAGCAAACATATTCCTTAGCTTACAAACTGACAGTAACTTAGACTGGATGAAACATATTGAATATATTACTCCAAACTAAATTCTGCATGTATGATCTGGAGCTTTCATGGCAACTGATTATAATGAATTATTCTGAAGCTACCAGCCGTGTTGAGTGATTTAATGGAGAAAACACCAATGTTTCAAGAAATCTTTGTCCTGGTTCTCAGGGTACTGAAGTTGTCAACTTGACAACAGCTTCTCGAAACCTTGGTGTTTTCTCCATTAAGCCACCTGACATGGCTGGTAGCATAAGAAGAATTCATTACACTCTGCATGCTTCGCCATGAGGACAGTTATACCACTCATGACAATAGATACTTTAAAATTTGTTTACTTTCTCTCTGTACTGTCATATGGATTCATTTTCTGGGGAAATTCAACAGACAGTAATAAAATATTTGACATCCAAAAGAAAATAAATAGAATAATTGCAGGTGTCAAAAGCAGAGTCTCTTGTAAAAAATTATTTCAGAAATTTACTATATGTCTACTTGCAAGTGAATATACACTCTCCTTACTATTATTTGTGGTGAAAAACGTGTACAGATTTTAAATGAACATAAATATACACTATTTAAACACAAGACACAAATGTGACCTTCATATGCCAAACACTAACCTCACTAAATATCAAAAAAGGAGTATACTATACAGCTATCATGTAATTCAATAATCTTTCACCCACAATTAAAAGTTTAAATCAGGATATAAAATCATTCAAACTTTCATTTAAAGATGACCTTTTCTTAAGCTTTATGTATGAAATGTATATATGCAAAACAAGGTTTTATACTTGTAATGAAGATTCTTAAGTATATCTATATGTAAAATAAGTTCTGTGCTTGTATTATGACGTTATCCTTTGGTTTAGCCCAAAAAAGTATCTATAGAATATAAATAAACTCTAGCTCTAACTCTCTGACTCCATACTCTGTTCTGTTAAGAATTAAAAAACCCCCCCCCCCCCCAAAAAAAAAGCAATATTTTATGCTATTAACTGATATATTTTTGCTTTTCAATTTGGCATTACACAAATTAAAATAACCATCTGAAGGAATCAATAACAAAGCCAGGAGATGTAAACAAAAGCAACTATCTTGTCATTTTCACCAGAATTTGACCTTTAACTTTACTTAGGAAATCATAATAACTACGGCAACCAAAGTAGCCTACAGATATCTTATCCAGTTACTTTGGTCTGCAGAAACTCATGTAGACCATCATGTAGAGTTGTTTTGTGAATGAAACCAAAAGTGGTGAGATTGACAAATATTAGTAAAACTCCCCGATGTCACATTTATAGTAAACTGAATACTGGTATATGCATGCAGACAGATCGGCAGATGGCTAAACAGAGAAATTAAATTGGCACTCCACATGAATGTGAACACGCCGAATAATGATCAGAAGTGGAACAGAAATCCTTGGGGTTGCTGTACCTTGACAAAGATGTTGAAAGAATTAATTTATTATTTTTGCAACCAAGGTGTTATGCAAACCATCTCTCTGGTAGTACACAACAGGGCATCATTTTTTCCTAAAAGACATGTATGTGTATATTTTTAAATAAATATCTTTCCACGAGTATTAGGAAATAAAGAAGGCTGAACTATGGCCAAAGTTTTAAATTAAATTTAAAGTCCCATGCTTTACTTAAAAAAGAGTTTGCATCTCCCAATTGCTTCATTTTATTTCTAGAAGATATCACTGCCGTTCAGTAAAATTCCTTTTCAAATTGTCATGTTTGAATTCTGCATATAATATTAAATTTTCTTAGTATGTACTATTATTGTATCTTGTATTTTTAAGTCTAACATACATTAAATATCACTATATATTTTGAGACCCAAGCAGCCGCAAGTAATCAAAGACTATGTATCTGTTGAAAATTGAAAAATATTTTGATTCCTCAAAGATTGTACCATGTTCTGTTATGATATTGAGTAAAATAAATATCTGTTTCAGAAAATGTTTAAGGCATTAAGAGCTGTCTCTGGCACTGATACAGCATGTTGATAGTGAACACGTTAAGAGAAAAACTGCAGGGTTTAACAGGTTAGAAACTTTAATAATGAACCAAAGATGACATTATATTTTCTGAAGTTTAGGCAATTTCTGTATATTCACCATGAGGCCAGTCTGGCACAGCATGTAATGGACGGTTTGGGCGACATCTGCTGCATGCAAGTTGTTGTGGTATGGATTTTTGTGCCGGCAATAACCTTCCTCCACCCTTGAAAGGAATGTCTCTAGCGTCACTGGGGGAACCTGTCAAGGAACGATACAAAAGTTTGCAAACATTGTATTAATTATTAAGGGGCCAAATGCACACACACAGAAGACTCACTTCTGCTTTAGTTAGGTGTAACGAGTCTCATGGGACATATGTAATATACCTCAGTTACTGATGATGACATATAGAATTCAAATTTAGTCAGTTGAGTAACAAACTATTGTAATAATTGTATGACAAACATGGAAAAGTATCATTTCTTAAAGGGATAGTTACCTTGAACTTATGAATCATTCCATATCTGTTGAGGAGGTCATACCCAAGGTACTTGACTGGTTGACTAGAAGCTGCATCGTTCAAAGCAAACACATCAAAAGACCATTCATCCAATGTCTGAAAAGTACAATAATAATTTCCGTGTATTAAATCATGAATTTCATACCTTGGTGCATATCGTGTTTCAGAATGAATGTTGCTAGAACAGACACTCCAAAAGTGTACCGCAGAGTCAGCTGGTGAAGAGAAGGATTGTTTTATTATTTGTTAGATCTGTATGTTTTCAAAGGAGTCTCCAAATTCATTTGTGATAACTGTGCCACTTTTAATATAGGAATGAGTTATGTATTCAAAACAATAACACCTCCAAGATTGTGTGATATGCCACAGAGAACTTTTCTCTTTTAACTAACCTCAGGTAATAAAGAAAGGGTAAATATAACAGTGTCAATCAGTAGTAATGACATTAATCCACTCTGAAGATGGCTGTCTTCTGGATTGTCGCACCATGTAGTCTGGTAGAAGTTTGCTGCCTCCATCACATCGCTTTGATGATGGAGGCAGCAAGGACCTCTGAAACATCAGTAAACTTCTATCAGACTACATAGTGCAACAACCCAGAAGACAGCCGTCTTTAGACTAACCACCATGAAAACCTCAAATCCTAATTAACCTACTCTGGCTAAGATACAGGAAGCATGAAGTTCTTTTCACAAATGTGTCACATTATCTGCATCAGATACTTACACACAGACATGTTTAAAACTTCGAAGATTTGTTGGTAATAGTGTTAGAAGAAGACAATTATGCCTAAAACTCAATGGGGAATTATGAAAATTTTCATCTATCTGCAATGAAGTGTTACTCACCTATATACATGCACACACACACATGCATGCATACATATTTGTTTGCATACACATACATAATATGTCCCGCGCTGTAGCCGCGCGGTCTGAGGCATCATGCTTCGGACTGGCGATATGGAATGCGCGCTGGTTCGAGTCTCGGGGGAGAAGACATTTTCTCATGAGCTTTCGACCAGTGTATGGGACAGGTGCCAACACAGCATCGTGAGGAAATTGGGGAGCTACAATGGGTAGCGGAATCCAGTCAGGAAAACTAGCAATGGCTGGGGGTTCATCGTGCTGACCACACGTCACCCTATATGTGGTTGGATGATCGTCCACCTCTGCTTAGGCATGTGAACGTGAGGCCAGCAGTCAGGCTAGTTGGCTTTGGCTCTCTGGAGCTGTTACGCCACGGATACACATACATAATGTGCTGAGTATGCACTAAAATCTACAATGGATGCCATCAACTTGTCTCCATCTGTTTCAAGATCACACCCTGCCAAACATGCATCTTTCACATCTACTGCCCCCACTCCTTGTCTATATTCATGGAATAGTATATAATCTCAATATAGATTCTTATCTGACTGTTCATTTAGTCAACCAAAATTCTTATCTAAAAAAAGAAGTCACTAACGATGCAAAAGTAAAGCCAGTTGGCAGAATACTAACTGTATACCTAGTGTCATGGACTGTTTTAAAATTATTGTTGGGAAGATATTATAACAAGACTTTTTATGTTTTGGAAGTATTCATTATTGCATAGTGCAAAATGTATTGAGGAAGCAGCAAAATGTTATCTTGTCAGGCCATACTGAACTATTGAGATGCTTACCTTCATATCTATTTATGCTAAGTGCAAATTGCTATAAAAACCATCTAAATCAGGCTTGATCCAAGTGTGACTGTAGAGTTCATTTTTGAAATGGAAAGAATTTTAACAATTTTATAAAAATGAACCAAGTTTTACTTAAGGGCATTAGTATGTATATGTAGAAGCTTGAGCATCTTTTTCCCACAAATACCAGAATTCAGTCACAATATAGCATAAATATCTCCCCACACTTTAATTAATGAAAGGGATGACAATAAAGTTTGTTGGTTAAAACACCATTTTATTTTTCTGTTTTAATAAGATATTTTAATAAAACATGATACTATTAATTATATCTGCTATGAATGCCCTGTTGCTATTTAGTGGACAGGAAAGACAGATAACAGACATGACCTCGGGTATGTAATACGTTCTTGGCCTACCATGCATACAGACAGCCTAATGTACATTTTTAAGGGCATGTAACACTTTCTTTGCATAATTTCATATATCCAAATGTCACAAAATTTATTGTCAACATTTCAAGGTCAATCAATAAGTTCTGACCCTGCTATCCTCAAAATGTATCATTTTATATATTTTATATATCTATAGATAGACCAGGAAGACTGTAAATAACAATCAAATAATTTAATGATTTATTGTTTTTATGGGTATGAAGCTTGTCCTCTAACCCTGAGGGAAGAACACAGTATGAGGATGTTTGAGAATAGGATATTGAAAACAATATTTTTACCTGGTAGGAAGTAAGAAAAGTGGTGAGAATACATAAAGTGGAGCTTTGCAATTTGTTCTATTCACCAGATATTGTAAGGCCCTTACAGTAAGGGTAAATAAATCAAAGCAGATAAGATGGCTGGCAAATGTTGCATGAATGGGTGAGGTCATAATTCACAAAAAAAAATCATAAACGTTTTGAGTCCTGCTGAGAATTGTTTCTGTAGCTTGGAAAATAAGTATGACAGAATAATATGTAAAGCCCAAAACTGTTTTGGCGAGGAGATTATAGGAACAAACGTCACAATCCCAAAAAATGTACTCTGTTCAAGACCCCATGAGAATTGCTTGTGTAATTTGGAAACTAAACACAAAAAAGTCGCCAAGACCAAAATTGTTTTCTTTGCCGATGATACTGAAAGTACAAAGGTCACAAACCTGATAAACTATCCTGTGTTCAAGTCCTGCAATGAATGATTTTTGTACCTCGGAAACTAAGAATGCTAGAAGAATAGCACAAAGATCACAATTGTTTACTTCAGAAAGGAGACTGCAGAAACAATGGCCACAAACCCGAAAAACTGTCGTAGGTTCTTGATTCGGTGAGAATAATTTATGTGGCTCTGAAATTAAGCACGATAGAAGAATGAAGCCAGAACCAAAAGTGGGAAATTTCAGGTTCCCAAGGAAGATCACTGTCTTCTGGGATGTTGCGCCGTGTAGTCTAGTAGAAGTTTACCACCATTAGTACTCTGATTATGGAGACATCAAGCACATATGTAACGTCTATGAACGTCTACCAGACCACACGACAGAAGACAATTATCTTCAAGACCAAAATTGTTTGCTTCGCCAAGGAGATAACCGGAATAAAGGCCACATCACCGAAAAAACTGTACTGGGTTCCGCCAATATAATAGCATCTCAAATACCAAAACTGTTCTCTTCGGGGAGGAAATTTCTCCCCAGAATTATGTAATGAGACAAGACTTTAGCTTAAACATTTAAGGACGAGCCATAATTTTAAGAGGATGTGCAAAAGGAGAACCTGTATGTATTCCTAGGATAATACTAATTTCGTCCACTTACCCGTTTGAGTTAAAACATTTACATTTTCCAACTACATTTCCCTATGACGAAGTTAAAGTTCAGTCTTTATAGGAAGTTGGTATTGATTTAAGAAGTGTTTCTTTCATGTACGCCTTCTTCGAGAGCTTGTTCTGTAAAATGTTTACATACACAACTGACGCCCACAGGCAAAACAACAAAGAAGTACTGTATTGAATTTTGATCACAGAAACGTAAAATATGGCTCTCCCTAGAAGACCTGGAAACGATGTTGCACTGTAACTTCCTGCATTCTCAAAAACACTTAATGTTAGCATTTTCTTATGTTAAGCCAAGATCATTACATGAATAAAAAATAAATTATTATTCAAATATTACTTTTCTCTTTCTAGATTCTACTAATTATTCTGATAAACTACGATGTTAATATGAAATTACTTTCCCCCAGTTTCCCTTGCATAACACATTTCAGAATTAAATAGTTACGTGGTGCAAGTAACCTGAAGAAGACGAATGGGCCCAACTTCTATTTTTATTCACACCGAATGAATATACAAAATCTTGATGAAGTCTTTAAAACTAATTACTGTAGATTATACTGTAATGGCAAATGTTATTATGTTCAGGAATAACAATTTTCCCTATGATACTCAACATTTTCACGCATTAGCAATTATATTGCTCTAATTGATGATAGTAAAGAGGTTGGTCTACAAATAAATACAGAGAAAACCTATGTTGATGACTCGTCACCAGAATGCAGGGCATTATATTGATGACTCGTAACCAGAATGCAGGGCAAAATCGTAGCATAAAGAGAGCTTATGGATCCCTTGAAAGTGTGGAAAAGTTAAAATATTTGTGAAAGAGCAGATTAAATTCGGACAATGCTTGCTACCAGTCAGATCAGAACCTTTTGTGTTCTCGTCTGCTGCCTAAAAACGCAAAGATTAAAATAGTATAATTTTGCCCATAGTTTTGTATGGGTATAAAACTTGGTCTCTGACACTTAGGGAGGATCATAATCTGAGGGTGTTTTAGAACAGGGTACTGAGTAGAATATTCTAACCTAAGAGGGAAGAATTACAAGGAGGCTGGAGAAAGTTGCATAATGAGAAGCTTCATAAGTTGTACTCATTAGGGAGATCATTTCAAGAAGGATGAGATGGGCGGAGCATGTAGCCTGCATTGGTGAGAAGAGGAATTCGTACTTGTTTTGGTGGGCAAAGCAGAAGGAAAGAGACCACTAGAAAGAACTGGAAGTAGGTGGAAGAATAACATTAAAATGGATTTTAGAGAAAGAGGATGGGGTGGTAGGGACTGGATTCATCTGGCTCAGAATAGAGATCAGATGCGGGCTCTTGTGAACACAGTAATGAACTTTCGACTTCCTTAAAATGTTAGAATTTCTTGAGTGGCTGGGCGACTGTTCGCTTCTCAGGAAGGAATCGGATCCATGGAGCAAGTAAGTAGGTAAGATTGCTTTGGTATCATTTATCGCCAGTTACTTTGACAAATACAAGATTCACACCGGAGTAAGTAGCAAGCAGATATAGACGTCAGGTGGTATCACGTCGCCTATATAATAACAAACAACCAAATTTCTAGTTTATGAGAATGTCGGTGAAAGAATCGACCACTTC